GGGGGGTTAAGTATGGTGGTGGTGGTGGTGGTTGTTGGTGAGAAGACCGGCGGGTGAGGGGGGTTTGATTATCAGTGGAGGAAGAGGGGAGGGCAGGCCGGGAATGATTATATAGAGGTGAAATGGGTAGTGAGAATAAGTGAAAGGAGGAAAAAGAAAGTGGGAAATGAGGTGGTTGCCTAGAAGAAGCAGGACCAAATGATGAGGTGAGGTTGACTTATGATTTCCATTTTATAAAAGTTAAGGAAAAAAAATTGATTCCCAAAGAGTGAGATCCAGAGCCGTTGAAACCCATCTTTCATGTTTATCAATCAATGTATAAGGATCAAGGAAGGCGCGCGTGTGCGTGAATTAATGCATACACAACCCCATGTTACACAGTACATTGTTCCCCCCTCAATACATATCGCTCATTTTACCACTAAAAATCTTTTTTTTTTCATCAAAATCTTTTTAATCCCTCATTCTCTCCATCCTTAAAATGATTTTAGTTTTTGAATGCTTTTTCATTAATCATTTGATGATACAAAATAAATACTTCCTTTATCTAAAAATTATATTTCTATTCACTAGTCACAGTCAGTGAGTGATTGACCGCTGGCAAATGGACTCACTCCCCTCGAAACCAATATTTGAGATGCAGCGGCAACACTTATATGACAACGAGTCACTGAGTATGGAATTTTAGAAAAACAATCGGGTTAAATGCGCAGCGAGCCATTTTACATACAGACAACTAGGTTAAATACTCAAGGCCCGCTAAAATGAATATATAGACGGACACCGTACCTTTTTTTTTGAAACGGGGATAACCCAACAGAGTAGTAATTAATAGACCCGGCAAAAGAGGAATACAATAAGTTCAAATTCTGAAGCAGTATATAACCTATTCTGCTAGCCATGTTTCTTGCCAGTCATGCCAGCAACTACATCAGTGAGAGCAGGTTGAGGAACTTGTTTTGATGATTCGAAAGAGTCTAGTATGGGCCTTACCACGGCTGGAAGAAAGAGCCCAACTCCAGCCAGGAGGCAAGAAGCAGCGACAACAGGTTCTTGGACAACAAATACTTTCAATTTATCCATCATTCCCATCTTCTGCGTCTCCTCAATTCACTTCTCGCTACTTCTCCACAGCGGACACCGTACCTTGACAAACGAGGTGGGGGTGGAGTGCATGGGTTCGGGACAGGCCAGGGTGGGGGTGTTATATGGAGTAGAAATGATCAATTTTGCAAGGGAGCATCTTAGGTGTCCCAAAATCCCGGTGGCATCGTAGTGTAGTTGAAACAGAACCTTGCCCAAATTATATCGAAAGATCTTACGGTAAGAGGTCACATTAGTACATTGTTTTATCAAATGATACAAAAAAAAATATGTAGAAGTTTTTTAAAATAACTTTATGCACAAATTGGCATACAAATATAAATTACACCAATCAAAATTATACCATATTTTTTATAAAATAAAACGTGACAAGAATATTTTATGTAATGAAATGGTCAATAAAATGTGCAAATTAAAAAATTAAAATTATAAAAACCCCTAAAATAATAACTAGGACAGGATTTTTGGGACGGAGGAAGTATCTAAATGGAGAATTACTATCTCATTTACAATATGGATACTACAAAATATTAAAACAATAACTACATATTTGTACGTGTGGAAACAATGTTTAATATCGATACTACTTTCGAAATATTAAAAAAATTAATGTCAAAAGTAGTCTCATTGGTGTTGTACATATAAAAATTTTGCTTTGTCTTGAATCATACTCGTATTTGTAGAGCATAATAACATCCATTTATATAAAGTTTGTCGTGCATGTGTAGTTGGCCGGTCTAATCAGAATACATCTCCCTTTTGCTTCTTTTTTTGGGTAAAATTTCTTGCTTTCATGATGACGATCATAACCAAAGTTGTCCCTGGGCTTTTCGGTGGCCTCTTTTGCTCTCATTCTTCCAAACTTTATCAATAAAAGGTGAAGAGAAGAGAATGTAGAAAAAAGAAAAAGATACCCACCAATCCCAAAACATGAAAATGGAACCAGCAACAATCAACTAGTCCACCTATCTTTTTTTTTTCCATCAAGATACGCGCAAATATGGGAAGCCTTCTTTTTTTAAACAATGCTAGAGGTACACCAAGTTTTTAACTTTTAAGATAAGACAGAGATCACGGAATTGAACTATAATATACTTGGACTAAATCATAATAAAAGATTGAATCAAATTAATCACATAGTTCAACGCATGAATAACTTAAGGATAATCTAAACTTATTAAATTCTAATCTGATCTAATATGATCTAAACTTATTTGATCTGATCTGAATGTAGTGTAATTTAAAGTTATGGCCAATCTGATATGAACTTCTCCGTTCTGAACTTATCTGATCTGATTTGAATTTATCTGATCTGATCTGATTCAAATAAAAATAGATAATAAGTGCAAGAAATAAGCTGAAGGAAACAGGTCCTAAATACCCATTACTTTTTTCTCAATTTCCCGATGTGGGATATTCTAGCACCGCACTCCCCTTCAAGTAGACAACTAGGTTTTTCTGAATCTAATCAGTTGACTACTTTTAAATGGATTCCATTCCCTTTGAGACCAATATTTGAGAATGCGGCAGCAACATCTATACGACCACGAGTCAGTAAATATACACTTCCAGATGAATAATCGTGTTAAACGGGTCACAAGCCATTTCCCATACGGACAATTTCATAAAGAGGTGGACCAAAACCTGATCTAATACTATGACATGATTTAGGATGAGGTAGGGATCGCTAAGCTAGGTCATAAAACACATGAGTGTTGAATCACATTAAACGATTTGGATTACTTAATTAGTTCAACTCAAGAGCTTAAAAACTCAGTACTTTCTTCTTAATTATTAGTTGTGGGATACTCTAACACTTTTTGTATGGTCTTGTTCACTTTAACTCGAACTGAGCTTTCGAGGGTCACTCGCTGATACCGTACATGAGGAGGATATGGAACCAGGCGGCGACCCAGCACCCGTACGGCCAAGGAGGAACGTCGGGCCACCCCGACGATACCGAGATTATGTTTAATATTTTATTAATATTTTGTAACGTAGATTTTTACTAGGTGAGCGGTTTATAAGCTCCTTCGAGGGTTTCTTTTCGGTTCTTTACCTCGATGCTTTTCTTGAACCGACAGGGTAGAAAATTAGATTAATTAGAAATGGGGAAACTCTATTTAAAGGGACCAACCCTTATCAATAATAATAAGCAACTTTTATTCCCCAAAAACCCTAATCTCCCCAGTCTTTCCCCTTCGTGGCTTTCTCAGCCGCGCAAGTCTTCTTCTCTTCCTCTCTGCAGCTTGATCTCGCGGAAGTCGAGTAACAACTGGTGCTTTCATTGACGTTCTCATGGCTTCATCTGATAACAATTCTGTTTTGACGTTGGAGGATATCATGTCGGCCATTAACGACATACGAAAGGAGCTTCATGCTACGAAAGTTCGGGTCACCGAACTGTCCGCTACTCGTACGGAGGACCAAAGACAGCATGGCCGACAGCCGCACCAGGGTTGGCGCCCTCCTCCATCGCGCATGACTACGGGGACTACAGATCCGATACCTCGGATGCGAGTTGATGCGCCGCGCTTCAACGGAGAGGATCCTACCGGTTGGATCTTCCGTATCCAGAAATACTTTGATTATTTTATGACACCGGAGTATGAACGTTTATCCCTCGCGGCCATGCTTATTGACCATCCGGCTTCGGAATGGTTCCACTATTACCAAGCCAACAATTGTGGCGCAACGTGGGATGATTTTTTACTGGCCGTTCATCAACGTTTTGATCCCAGCTATTATGAGAATTATGTGGGTTTGCTTTCTAAACTCACCCAAACCGGATCGGTGATGGAATATCAGTCGTCGTTTGAAGCACTTCTTAAGAAGACAATCACAAACT